GTCTTCCTCTGTTGTCAGCAAACTAAAAGCAGAGAATTCTCATGTGCAGCTTACGCAACAAACTGTATTCCTAACCCAGAGCCCCCTGTTTATTGACATTCATCCTGATTTGCTTGCACAAAGCTTACACCAAAGTTATACTTTAGCTAGTCTTTGCTGAGTATTCATTCTGATTTGTTTGCAGGGTAGTTAGTTATATGACAATTAGCATCAGATTTGCTTGCAGGGTGTTTATACGTCTTCCCATTAGTCATTTGCTCATTGCACATGTTTTCAGTGCATTTCCCCATCACTTTCCAAACTGCAAAAAGTCTGGTGTTTTTGTGTGAAGTGGATTTGTTGCCCAGAATCCTTTAATCTGATTTAACTGTGCAAATCTAAATTTCCAGCATGTATTTGCATCCCTTCTGGAGGATAGTGAAAGTCCGGAATCACCGTTAGTTTCTCCCCCACATTTTTTTACAGCTCTGGCTGCATTAACATCTAATGCTAAGCAAAGCCATAGTTTATTGTGAACTGGCTGCTGGGGAAAAGATTACAGCCGCTCCTCTGTGGCCCCTTTAGCTCAGTGGGGTGCAGCACCAAAGCGAAGGGTGGCTTAGTGAGTTGTCTGAACTTGGGATACTGATTAAGCTCTTGCCTCCTTAACAATTATCTACAGTATTTGTTACTGGCTACATATTGCAGCTTAGCTACCCAACTGAGCTAAAAAGCCTGGGGAGTAACAAAGCAGGTGAAAGCTCCTCTCTGGGAGCCAGCCTGTTTTGCACAGTTCTGGTGAGCCACACATATTAATCACATGGATGAAATCTCAGCAAGAGTCTTGTTGCTTTCCAATACACTGGTTAGAAAAGGACACACACCCAAGCCTTGTTAAACTTGTAAAAACAAGCCACAGAAACCCAGCATGATTCAGCCACACCACCCTAATCTCTCAATAAAAATAGTTATTTAGAAAGCCCTTGTTGATCCCAGAAAGTGGCAAAACAGGGAAGGCAACGCCTTTGGTTGGACCAAATCTTGGCAGGATATTCCCCTCCCCTATTTGTCCTCTGGAACAGGGTCCAAGCTTTTGAGTCCATCGTCAGAAGAAGGCGCTTGCATTCTAAAGCTGGTCACAACGTCCCCGTCATCCTCTGCTTGCCACCACACAGGCTGTGTGCAATTCCCTCCCATATACTCCTCACCTTCCCACATCCAAGAAAAACAGCCTTGGGATGGTGGTAGTAGTAGATTAGGAACAACTCAGAGATCAGATAATGCTTATCTTGGCAAGATTCAAAACCTCTCACAGTCTCACCCACAAAAGGTGGTTCAGTCAAAGGTGATTTGACACCTTGCCAATGTTGGGCCTCTCAGGAATCCACCAAGACTTTGTTCTAGGAAGCAGTAGCACAACTTTACCTTCCTTGTTTGGAACCTTTCTGCTCTAACTTCATTGTGATAAATATTTCTCATGAGCCTCCAAAGCACCAGCTATATTGACCAACTGCAGAAATTGAACTTAATAGACATTGCCACCCCCCTTCCCAACAAGTCTGCACCAAGAATTCCCACCAGGTGATACTCTGCCTTTTCTCAGGTGACTCCAGCTGTTGTTCTACTCCAATCTATGACAGTCTTGCTGTAGCTCTGTTCTCTCTGATCTCTTATCCCCAGGCTGGCTGTGGCATACTTTATCTCTCATTCAAGGTCTCTCCACCCAGAAGGGGCTGGGAGAGGGGAGGTGCTTGGCTGGGGGATAGATACACAGATGTCCTTGAAGAATTTCAGAGCAGCATGAATTGCGTTCACCACTGCCATACACCCAGCGGTACTTGTTTTTCATTCAGAGACATCACATTCAGGAACTGAAGAAATACCATGCAGTACCAGGCCAGGAACACTGGAAAGCATTATGCTCTTGGAAGAAGACAGGACTGCATCCTGGCAGATTTCAGTTGCATTGAGGAATACATTACTGGTATTGCTATAAAGCAAAAGGAAGCAATTGTTACAGGCAGTGCTATTTTTCTAGAAAAAGAAGTGCCGGAAATCACCATGAATGCCTCCATTGTTCTCTTATCATGGCAACGGTGTCCGCCTGAAAGATGCTGGAACTGAGTTCCGGTGAGTTCTGGATGAAAAAAAGCTCTGGTTACAGGCAACAGATTCCAAAAGAGACAAATTGTCCCCACTTGACTTGCATTATTGTGATGGGGTGGTATATGTTGACTTTTTGCTTCAGATGAAAATTTGTTTTAAGATTAGTAAAAAAGGTAAAGGTAAAGGTACCCCTGCCCGTATGGGCCAGTCGTGTCCGACTCTGGGGTTGCGCGCCCATCTCACTTAAGAGGCCGGGGACCAGCACTGTCCGGAGACACTTCCAGGTCACATGGCCAGCGTGACGAAGCTGCTCTGGTGAGCCAGCACCAGCGCAGCACACGGAAACGCCGTTTACCTTCCCGCTACAAAGCAGTACCTATTTATCTACTTGCACTTAAGAGTGCTTTCAAACTGCTAGGTGGGCAGGAGCTGGGACCGAACGACGGGAGCTCACCCCGCCGCGGGGATTCGAACCGCCGACCATACGATCGGCAAGTCCTTGGCACTGAGGTTTTACCCACAGCGCCACCCGCGTCCCCGGTTTAAGATTAGTAGGTAAAGATAAAAGGTAAAGGGCCGCTGGATGGTTAAGTCCAGTCAAAGGCAACTATGGGGTTGTGGTGCTCATCTCACTTTCAGGCCGAGGGAAGTGGCGTTTGTCCACAGACAACTTTCCGAGTCATTTGACCAGCATGACTAAACTGCTGCTGGTGCAACACAACACTGTGATGAAAGCCAGAGCACATGGAAACATTGTTTACCTTCCTGCCGCAGCGGTACATATTTATCTATTTGCACTGGTGTGATTTGAACTGCTAGGTTGGCAGAAGGGACAGAGCAACGGGAGCTCACCCCATTGAGCAGATTCAAACTGCCAACCTTTAAATCGGCAAGAGGCTCAGTGGTTTAGACCACAGTGTCACCCGCGTCCTACTAGTAGGACTGGTACAGCATGATGAGATATCCATGAGTATATGAAAAAACAGTTCCTTTGAGTTTCCAATTCAGGCATGAACTCCCTAATATTCCTACTCTAAAGTATATGAGAGGCCAGATTTGACAATGAGCAGTCAACTATGGGGTTGGAGGAAATTTAACTGAATGTGAACTGACATGAGAGAACCTGGGTGGAAAACTGGTTTTCTGGGATAATAAAAGTGAATTGATTGAGTGATGTGAGGTACAAGAGAAATAGAGTTCCTCTGAACATGTGCAGAACACCTCTGCCTTGCAAGAGAGAAGCTGTCATGTATAATACATTTTGAAACAGGATTTCTTGAGCAGATTATATGGCTTCCAGACTGCCCCTTAAGGCCCCGTACTCATGTTACCCCAACAACGTTGGAAGTGCTGCAGTGCTGCTCCTTCTTGCATTGCTGGGGTAACAGTGAGAAGCCCAGACCATGAGTAACAAAGCCCACATCACAGCTTCTTCCTGTGTCAATGCTAACCATTAAGATACACTCTTGTACCATACAGGAGTGGTGCTGCTGAAGATCCCATACTAGCAGAGTAACGTAAGAACCTAGAAATTATGTCCAGTCCCCATTTTCTTGCCAGGTTTCTGTACAACTAGTACCTACAGGCCATTCCCAATCAGCCCCCACCCCCAAGTATTGGCCTTCTCCAAATCTATACCCTTCCAGCAGTACACATGCACTCTTTTCCCTCACAATAGTCCCCACCCCAATTCAGAAGCCCTGAAGGGAGAGAAAAGTATTTCCCAAGATCTGATAGACACATGCAAACCTGCTGTACCTGGAGCTGGGAGTAGAGAGTGCAGCTGAGTGGGACACAGTCAAGGGCAGCCTGAGGAAGTCCCATCCACCTTGGATCTGCAATTCTCCGAGAGGCTAGGGTGATTTCTGAGGTTTCCAGGAACTCTTCTCGTTGTGAAACTTTTGTTGGTGAGCTGAGAGTTTGTTTCGACCCTGGGTGCTGAGAGGGAGGGTGTTGTCAGAAGGAAAATGCATTGATATGGATTTAAATATAGTGGTATCTTTCTATTAATGTAACATTTTTATGTGTATTTTTGTAATATTTTGTTTTGTCTGCTGTTGCTGTTTCAGCTTATTGTAAACCGTTTAAGAGATATTTTAAATAAGCAGCACAAAAATTAAATAATCAGTCATCATCATCAACATCATAAAGTACAGTGGTACCTCAGGTTAAGTACTTAATTCGTTCCGGAGGTCTGTACTTACCTGAAACTGTTCTTAACCTGAAGCACCACTTTAGCTAATGGGGCCTCCTGCTGCCGCTGCGCCGCTGGAGCACGATTTCTGTTCTCATCCTGAAGCAAAGTTCTTAACCTGAGGTAATATTTCTGGGTTAGTGGAGTCTGTAACCTGAAGCGTATGTAACCTGAGGTACCACTGTATGCCACTTCCTTGTGCCTTTCCACTGAAATCTAAAACTGTTACGAGTGTGTGAAAAGGGGAGGTTCGATCTAAAGGCCTGTTCTTAAAAATACTTTCAGGACTGAGTTGCACAGCTCCTCCTCACATAAAAAATTAAAATAACAGACAGTCTTCAAGCGCTGCAAATACTTAACAAGGCTGCCCACTCAGTGGTGGCGATATGAAAGCAATGTATTTTAAGAACATTCCTTGGGATTTTTTAAAATAAAATAATTGTAGCACAAAACAGTGTTATCAAAAAAGCTAAAATAAACGCTCTTGGTTGTTGTTGTTGGGGTTTTTTTGGGGGGGGGGAATGGCGTTGTAGGAAAGGAGATTGCGGCTCCGGTATACGCAGCCCACTGAACAGCTCTTAAGCGTAGCAACTGCTTTTGCTTAGTACCTGCGAGCCGGTGGAAGTTGTTGGCGTAGTCCCACGTGCGCGCTGGAGACACTCGCCTTCCGCTTCCGACCGCGTGTTGCGGAGCCCCTCCTTGCGGGAGATTCAAGTCAGCGGCGGGAGGAGGAGGAGTTCCGGCGCCTGCCTGCCTGCCCGCTGCGTGAAAGTCACTTTCACGTGAGGAATCAAAGACACACGGCAGATAAGCTTTCATTCAGGAGGCCTGAGGCAAGATCTAAAGGGGGAAGAGAGGGATAGACTCTGCATCTAGGTAGAGAAACGTGCAGATTTCTGGGGGAGGGACAGATCCCCCCCTTAGACCTGGATTCCTTTCATTTTTCAGGCACATGTCAGCCGAAGGGAGGTGGCACAGAGCTACCTCCTCCTGCCCCCCCACAAAACCTGGAGGCACTAACAGAACAGGCCCCTGTTCCCATCCAGGGAAGGGACCACTAGGGCCATCTAGCCCAACCCCCTCTGTAATGCAGGGAACTTTTGCCTAACCTGGGACTCGAACTCATGCCCCCTGATCAAGAGTCTCGTGCTCTACCGACTGAGCTTCCCCACCCTACAACAACTGAGCTGGCTTTCTTTTCTGTTTCTGTAGGTCTAGCAGCAAAGTTGTGTTACCACTGACCACCCTTTCAAACTGCATAATGCCTGGTCTTCTGAACCGGATGTGCCACATTGGGTTCCACGTCCCTGAGGGGCAACAGCTGGCCAGCAACTTGGTGCGCCAGTTTGGATTCGAGCTGTTTGCTGCACGGGTGGCAGAATGGAGCAGGCAGCTGGCCTTCCGGAGAGGGGATGCTGTCTTTCTCGTCAATGAAAGGCTGAAGCCTGCCAAGAGAGACGCTCTACCTGTGCCATCTTCAGGCTGCCGCAAGGATAAAGGAATTCTGTACGACGTGGACCTAGAGTATGCCGTCAGTACAGCCTCCAACATTTGCTTTGAGGCAGAAGATGTACCTGGCATCTCCCAAAGCCTACAGGAACGAGGATGCCAGATCCTCATCCCTCCCACAGCTGTGGGAGATGAAAATGGCCACGTCACTTATTCAGTAGTGGGATCCATCATAGGCAACATCAGCCACACACTGCTTGACAGATCTGGGTACAGCGGACCGTTCCTGCCTGGTTTCCACATGGTGGAGGGTGCTCCCAAGGTCCAGGTGGGTGGCCAGGTGACACATTTTGATCATATCACCTATGCTTGTCCCCAAGGTAGCTCACAAGCTGTGTTGGACTGGTACAAGAACTGTTTGGGATTCCAGCGCTTCCCCATCCACCAGCAAGACAATGGTACTGATGGCTATACAATCCAAGGTGCTGGTATGGGTCTTCGTCTTACTGCCATGCAGTCCAATGGGAGCGATCCGACTCTGCTTCGCAATGACTGTAAAATTATTCTAGCCGAGTCCCTGTCAGAGCAAAAGAAGAACCAGGTGGATACTTTCTTAGAGCAGCATGGTGGATCAGGCATCCAACACGTGGCACTCTACACCACAGGTATTATAGGGGCCGCTGCGGCCATGGCCAGATCTGGCGCAAACTTTTTCAAGCCCCCCTTATCATACTACAGTGAGAAAAGGAAGGTGGAGGAGATAAGGCAAGCTGGGCAAAATCTTCAGCTCCTGAAGGACCACGGCATCCTTCTGGACGCTGGCGTAGGAGGCAGCGGTGGCTCTGGAGGCCTTTGTGAGAAGCAATACCTCATGCAGATCTTCACAAAGCCTCTCTTTACAGAGGATACTTTCTTCCTGGAGCTTATAGAGCGATGTGGGGCCACAGGTTTTGGCGAGGGAAACATTCGTGCTCTCTGGCAGTCTGTACAAAACTATATGGACCAGCAAGTTTGAAGAATGCACACCAACACCCCGTTACACAATATTGTGCTCAGTGTATATGTTAACCTGATGGTGCGAGTTCTGCAAACCTGCTCCTACGGGGTTGGTTTCCCTGTTATATCGATGACATAAGGAGTTCTAGATCATGTGCATACTTCCTAAACTGGCTCTGCACCTCCACCAGAGTTGCTTTCACTGGTGTAAAAAGTATCCATGTGATCTGGATGACCCACCTAATCAGAACTTTTTACACATTGCTGATCTATTTTGAGTTGGGAGCTCTAACCATAGCGAAGAAACATCGTGATGGCAGCTGCACCTCAAGGCCTGTGTGTACATGCTTATTTCTCTTAGTGCTAAAATGCAAAGGCTTTAAGGACCCTCCAGATGTTGAGCTGCAACTCATATCATCCCTGACCACTGGTCATGCTGGGTGTTGGGAGTATAGCAACATCTGCAGGGCTGCAGGTTCCCATCCCTAAGGCAAGATACGGCATGTATTTCTGTCCTAAAAAGGGGCAAGCACTGGTACTGCACAGGCAACTTATCCACAGCAAAGCCCATTATTTTCGGACCTGATTCTGAAACAAATGAATTGCCCCACTCACTTAATTCATTGCGATTCCCATTTTAAGGTCAGAAGAGGAAGTTGTTTCTGCCTCTACCAGTGTTTATGCTTAAGTTTATCTCCATAATCCAGTTAAGTGTCCAAAAAAAGAAAGTAAATTCCTATGCTGTTTCTACCGATTTACACACTATAGAATAATAGTTAGTTGGACACACAGAATGCAAGATGGTTTGCTAACTATTCCTGCTGTGCAACTTGGCAGCTTCCTGACTAGCAGCACAGTAAGGACTAGCTGGGAACTCTTGTGGCTCTGTAGATCCAAAACAGCTGCACACAGAATTGGATGATGAGACAGTGTCAAGGTTTGGGCTCCTATAAGAGGGATAGAATTTGCCTTGCACCATATTGAAAACTAGAAGGGTGAATAATTATCAGGTGAGCCTACATCTCCGAAGGCAGCTACCTTGTTATGCTGCTTAACTACTGATACCACTGTTCCAAGTAATTATGTGGAGGGCGAAGTATAGTCAATTCATTAAAGTCTCCTGAGCTCTGACAGAGAAGACATTTTTGCTAGGTGGGCATTGGAATATCTTCTTCAGTACAAAACTATGTGCTGAAGCTCTTTTAAAAAACTGTTACTTGAATGGTTTCTGTCTCAAGTATATTTGTGATGAGATCACAGCAAAACATTAATATGTTTATTAACAACAATTTAAATTATAAGATTTATTTATAACTTATTATTTAAATTATAACACTGAAGTATAATGTTCTTTTAAGTGTTGGGTATAATAGCATTTTTTCTGTTTTAGGTCTAGTTGGTAATATGTTTTACTATTTCAATTTGGCCAGCTAGTCAGTTGAAGAACAGCTTATTTCTTTAGTAAACTTGCTTAATTTTTGTTACAATTGTGTTAAGTTTTAAACATCTTTCAATTGGATATTTATTTGGGCATGTGGAATACTTATAGTAATAAAGATATATGTGTTTAAGTCAGGGTTGATCTTTTTAAAAATTCTTAATATCAGTTGAGACTATTTTTTGTTATATTCGCATTAAAAACAGAATTGCGTTAACTTTAAATATTTCTTTGTAGTTCTGTAATAGAACACATTGTTACATGCTTCTCTGTATTAATTCCCTTCTGAGTTTAGAATATTTAGAATCTGTTTCTTATCAACATTATGCAACGAACAAGGTCTTATTTATGTGTTTGTTCACTGTGTGGCTGAGCTTTTATGAACTTGCTGTTTCTTCATCCTGGGGAACAGATACTGCTACTTAGCTGTACTTTACAAAAAGGACATGCCTAATAGCATATTTTCCAAATTGCTTATGGCGGGGTAGTTACCCTTTTGATAAATGTTACCAATGTGCCCCTTTTGGTCGCAGGGGAGCAATGGGGAGATTATAGAGTAGTCATTTATTGTGCTTTTTTCACATGTGAAATGGCAAATACTAGAAATAGTGGGAAAAGAACTGAAAACTCCACAATATTCCACCTTTGTATTAACAGATTTCTGAATGCTTGCTTTTAAAGGGACTTTCTTGGTTCCTTGCCAGTGACATGGCTGTGCAGGTATCAACATGCTAGTACAATATTTTTTTTGTGTGTGCCAATTTTCAATGCTACAGTGTGAATAATAGAATCAGTTAAGAAGAAGAAAGCATAACTAAATAACCGCCACAGTAAAAATTCATTAAAATTTTATTAGCAAACCCACAATTAAAACAGGACACTGCATGTACTGAAAAACAGTTTCATCTGTGAACTCCAGCAATTGTGGCATCTAGTACAGCAGCAAAACACTTAGTTGACCATGGATGTGAGCAAATGGCAATTGCATAGTTACTTGTCCTTGAGAATAAACTAGCTCTAAGCAAGCAACATTTAAGAAGGATGCAGAAGAGACATTGAGTCTTTTTGCTTAGCATCCACTGGAGAATAAGTCTTTCAGTCAGCCTGCCTCATATACTTTTTTAAAAAGTCCATTTTACTGCAGTGTGGCACACCAATAAACTCTGACCTCCTAGGAACCACTACAGCCACACTTGTTTGAATTGCGCCTGTGTTATGTATTGGGGTGGAGGGGGGCAATGTTAAAGTCACAACATTCCCATGATGCCCTCATTGCAGCCACAGTGTTTCATTCCAGTATGACCACATCCTTGCTGGAGATCAGTCCCTCATCTCTGGAACTATAAGATAAGGCACATCAGTTGAATGGTAATGCAGACGAAACAACTGGACTCATCCCACAGCTCGAAACAACTGGACTCATCCCACATCTCGAACAGCTTAGCACTGTTTACAACAGGCAGGCACACCTCACAGCCTGGGTAGTGTGGTCATCCCAACCGAGAATCTTGAGACCTTTCAGTGATGCTCATTGAGAAGGCACCAATGGGGCTTCCAAGTATTGTACAAGGTTGCTGGGAGTTGAATAAGGTGTACTCACGTGAGGTCAGGCAGAGCACAGAGACTGCCATCAGTCCCCGGGATTTGTTGCAAGAAATGAATCCAGAGAAAGTTGCCTCTTGGAAAAACTACCTTCTTCATGCAGGGTCTGGCTGGTGTGTAGGAAGTCCCGTTTCCTCTTGACAGTCTGTACAGTCACACATGCATATGTATTTGATGGAGAAAGCACTGTGGCCACCTCTAAATCCCATCCTCTTGCTCATAGGCCTAACATTGGTAAGCACTCTAAGGGTGGAGACAAGCCAGCAGGACCCACCCAGTGTGGTTGGAAGGATGTGCAGTTGGCAAGCCTCAAACTCATGGCTCCCAACATGCAGGACCAGTGATGGAGCTCAGTAGACAGAGGGGCGAGATGCTGTTCCCTGTGGAACGCCCTCCCTTCAGATGTCAAGAAGATAAAGAAGTACAAAACTTTTAGAAGACATCTGAAGGCAGCCCTGTATTGGGAGGTTTCTAACACTTGATGTTTTTATTATGTTTTTAGATACGCCGCTGTAAGCCACCCAGAGTGGCTGGGGAAACCCAGCTAGATGGGCGGGGAATAATAAGAATAATAATACTTCTAGGAACATGATTGGAGCTGCACAGAGAGAGGTAAGAGCTGTTCAGCTCTAGCAAATGGATGTCCTTACCTTGGCAGTACTGATTGTAGGGCTCCACTTTTCATAAACTTTCAAGACCTGTAAAAGTAGGACACTCCACATAACACATCTAGCACCATAATGAATACATGGTGTTGACTCCATATGAGGGGGCAGGTTGCAGCTGTTTACGTACAAAGGCGTTTTTAACATATCAGCTGCCCCCTGGAACCACTGATTGCTTGAGCCAGAAACACAGGGACAGTGTGAAAGAGGAGACAGAGCACACGTAACAAGAGAAGCAGCTAAAAGTGGGCCAAGTGTATCCCTTGCTAGAAAGCTTTGTTCAGTCCAGCTGCAAAAGAAGAACCAGGTGCAGTTAACATTTGCCTTTCCCCAGAAGCTGGGGCTAAAATTCCATGCTGTTGCGTCACCTGCATCTCTCAGGAGAAACTGACATGTGGGTTTATTGGGAAACTTGAAGCAATGAAGCTCTAGATTCTCAGTACCTTCTTCATGGCTGTGGAGATGGCAGAGTTGTGGAATTCTGTTTCGGTCACCCACCGGGATGCCGGCAGCTCCAGCTCCACATCCCAGTTTCCTTCATCTTTATCCAGATTCAAAGAGTAGATCACGTATGTTTGGCGGATGTGGGAGAAGATATGGAGAACCTGGTGAAGGAGGTGAAGATATGTAGATGTGATTAGGGAAGGTGAGAGATGCCGTTATGTCACAGCATCCCTACCTTCTGGCAGATAAGAAGGACAAGTTCCTTGGGAAGGAAGAAACCCAGCTGCAGCCTCACAGAGGGAGGCTGGGCTTTGCATGGAGACCTGGGAGCTTCTCCTTCCCAACCTTCATTGTTTCAGGACAAGGAGCTGCAGGTACATAACCTACTTGTCTGTGGGAGTGAAGACAGGGAAGAAAGCAGAGACTGTGCTCTAGGACTAGGACAGGGGTGCAGGCCTGGAGGCAGACTGCAGTTCTCCAGGCTTCTCTTCCCAGTCGCTGAGACTCACACTAGGTTGTGCCTCCTTCCCATTCCACACCCCTCCCCAGTCATACTCCTCCAAGTGTTTTTGCCTGGCTGGAATGTGGCCTTGAAGTGCAATAATGCTCCTGGCCTGCCTGGATGAAAGTATGTGTGTGTATGTATATTAAAACCTGACTTTTGTTTGGCTGGAATGTAGCCTGTTAGCATCCGGCTGTCTTGGGAGATAATGGAGGAGTGTGCCTTTGGGGGTCAAGTAGTTCACTCCACTTGTCAAGTGATACTCTGAGCTCCAAGCAACCATTGAAGCAGGCGGACAGTGGGGGCCAGCACTTGGGGCTGCCAAGCTTAAGACGGGCAGCAGCTGACTAGCAAGACATGATGATCTCTCCCACCTATGGCATAATCTGAGTGAAAATCTAAAAATAATCTGAGGGCTGGATGGCTGGAAGTGATATTTAATTCAATCCTGACAAATACTGTTCCAGATATTCATGGGGGCAGTAATTTCATTGCCAGCTATTTAACTGCAAAACTTTCCATCTGTCAGTTACGAAATAGAACAACTGTCTTCCCCATCAAACCAGCTTCATGCATGGCACACATCCTGAAGGTTTTGTTTGGCAGTTAATAGCAACAGAGATTCTGATGCTAATGCCACCCCAGGTTGTAGGTTGTAAATCCTATGCAAGGGGAGGTGGTGGCGAGAGGGGAGGTACTCGCTGGAGAGACACTGTATAAACAATGGGCCAATTCTGCAGGGAGGGGGGTCCAATGTACCTCTCCAACATGCTGCAGGCGTCTTGTTGCCACGTTACTACCAACCCAGGCCTGGAGGTGATCTGCCAGCGCTGCTTTCTGCCGCTTCTCCTGCCCTGACTCAAGGAGGAGGCTTGGAAACTCCCAAAGCCCTGCCAACAGACCTGCAAGAAAATGTACCATCACCATCACCAGCACAAGCTGATATTGTATCATAGTTAAGAGGCTGAGTTATGAGCTAGAAATCCCTGGTTCAAAAAATCATGGACATAAAATTTGGTACCCTCTGGCAAAGTTACACATTCTCAGCCATATCTAAAAACTTGGAATAATATGTATCTACTTAATAAGGCTGTTGCAGAGATTCCTGGGATAATGTACACAAAACACCTAGGAAATTCTCTAAATAAATACTGTGTTGTCAATATCATATTTTAAACATAACCACCCTCTATCAGGCACACAAGACATGTATTTAGAAAACACTGCTTCCATAGTAAACGAGCAGTGCTCCTAAGGTACATGCCTACGTCAGGGCTGAGTGCTCTCTCCCTTGACTAGTGCAGGCGAAAGTAATGCCTTAAATAATTCAGCTGGTTTTCTTTTACTTCAACTGTGGCATGAATTTTTCAACAGCTGAAAAAATGCTCAATAACAGAGACAGGTCCGGGTGCCCAGGGTATCTATCTATTTATTAAATGTGTATACCACCCTTCATCTGAAAACCACAGGGTGGTTCACAACATAAAAATACAAAATGAGAACACAAGATACATAATAAACAAAAATAAACCAATAACCCTCCCTCCCACAATCACATTTTAAAGACCATAGAACCTTAATCAGCCAAAGGCCTGGTTATATTGAAACGTTTTTGCCTGGCACCTAGTATAGCAGCCTGGAATGGACTGGCAGATAAACTTGACCCATCTTGCAGGCATCTGTTTTCTGCAACCACTAGCTCAAAGTCATAAACGTGCCTCAACATAAAATTGGAATGATCACTGACGTGGGTGGGGTGCAGGAGCTTGAGATGTAACAACAGATTTTCCAGGCATGGTAAGCCTCCCTTTCTCAGACCATTACCTGTGCTAGGTCTCTGCACAATAAGGTACTCTGGTTTCCCATCACTGCACTTTCTCTGTAGCACACATGTGGCTGTGCACTCGATCCTGGGCTGCTTCTTGGCAGTTTTCCTGGGGAAGTTGGTCACACCAAGGCTGGGATCCCATGGCTCTGAAGGAGGCAGGCAGAGGGAGCAGCTCCCTGTAGC